ACTATATTCAATGTTGGTTAGGATACAACATCATGGGCACTATTATATATTATGATGGAAATGTAAATCTGTACATTAATAACAAGCAATTTGATAATATATGTTCTTACTAATATCTGAACACACCTTGAAAATCCATTTGGTCCATAAAATAATGTAGTGAGATAGAGATCAGTCTGGCATAGAGAAGCTTAGGAGACTATACTGCCCTATGATGCCAAATTATTATTCCTAATGACATCACAGGAATAAACATTGTGTTATCTTAAGACTAGCTTATCTGAATCATTTTTTCCACAAAAGTTTCAGCATCATTTTTTTTATCTTTTATTTAATGAATATAAATTTCCAAAGTACGACTCATGGGTTACAATGGCTCCCCCCCCATACCGTCCCTCCCACCCACAACCCTCCCCTTTCCCACTCCCTCTCCCCTTCCATTCACATCAAGATTCATTTTCGATTATCTTAATATACAGAAGATCAGCTTAGTATACCTTAAGTAAGGATTTCAACAGTTTGCTCCCACACAGAAACATAAAGTGAAAAATAATAGATGATTTTTTTTTAAATGATGATGAAATCAGATCAGACCTATTGTCATGTTTAATCCCAGTGAGAGTCAAGTTGAGAGTCAAGTGGAATTGATAATTCTCTTGATTTTTTTTACAGAAGATCAGTTTAGTGTACATTAAGTAAAGATTTCAATTGTTTGCACCCCCATAGAAACACAAAGTGAAATATACTGTTTGAGTACTCGTTATAGCATTAAGCCTCAATGTACAGCACATTAAGGATAGAGATCCTACATGAGGAGTAAGTGCACAGTGACTCCTGTTGTTGACTTTACAAATTGACACTCCTGTTTATGGCATCAGTAATCTCCCTATGCACCAGTCATGAGTTTCCAAGGCTATGGAAGCCCCTTGAGTTCTCCGACTCTTATCTTGTTTAGACAAGGTCATAGTCAAAGTGGAGGTTCTCTCCTCCCTTCAGAGAAAGGCACCTCCCTCTTTGAAGACCTGTTCTTTCCACTGGGATCTCACTCACAGAGATCTTTTTGCCAGAGTGTCTTGGCTTTCCATGCCTGAAATACTCTCATGGGCTTTTCAGCCAGATCCGAGTGCCTCTAGGGCTGATTCTGAGGCCAGAGTGCTATTTAGGACATCCGCCATTCTATGAGTCTGCTGAGTATCTCGCTTCCCATGTTGGATCACTCTCCCCTTTATTTATTCTATCGGTTAGTGTTAGCAGGTACTAGACTTGTTTATGTGCTCCCTTTGACTCTTAGTCCTTTCATTATGATCAATTGTGAACTGAAATTGATCACTTGGAATAGTGAGATGGCATTGGTATATGCCACCTTGATGGGATTGAACTGGAATCCCCTGGTATGTTTCCAACTCTACCAATTGGGGCAAGTCAGCCCGAGCATGCCCCAAATTATACATCTCTTCCCTCTCTTATTCCCACTCTTATGTTTAACAGGGATCACATTTCAGTTAATTTTCAACACTTAAGAATAACTGTGTGATAATTACAGAATTAAACCAGTCATATTAAGTAGAACAGACAAAAAAAATACTAAGAGGGATAATGTATTAAGTTGTCCATTAACAGGGCTATGAATTTTCAGCATCATTAACCCATTTTAAAATCACATCACCCAAAGTTCCCTCTACAGCCATTTGTTTTTTTTTTTATTATTATTATAGAAAGCTTTTATTTAATACATGTAAATTTCATAAGTACAACTTTTGGATTATAGTTGTTGTTCCCCCCATACCCGTCCTCTCTCACCTCAAAACCATCCCACTTCCTACTCCCTCTCCCATCCCATTCTTCATTAAGATTCATTTTAATTATCTTTATATACAGAAGATCAACTCTATACTAAGTAAAGGTTTCAACAGTTCGCACCCATACAGACACACAAAGTATAAAGTACTGTTTGAAGACTAGTTTTACTGTTAATTCTCATCTGCAGCCATTTGTTGTCCATCATTCTAACAGCTCTCAGTTCCTTCTATTAGGCTATCAGAGCAGATAATTTGAGTCAAGCCTTGACACTCCAATCTGGGCATGCATCCGGATGTCCTCATTGGTCTCAGCTATTACTGTTTTCTGCCTCTTGTGGGCGCTAAGAATGCTAGATATGAGGCCCTCATCAGCTAGAACTTGAAGGATCCCCTGCAGATTCAAGGCACTTTGCAATCTCAGATGCAATTGGATTACTTATATGTATAAAGTAATAAACATGGAGATAGCAAAGACTTCCAACTATATCAAACAAACCACATCTCACAAAAGGAGACTATAAAACCTCATAAATAAAATTTAATGCAAAATTGGCACTAGGACCCATCAGAAAGTAAACCTTCAAACACATAGGGAAATCAAAGAAGCAAATAATATAGACCAATTGGATGAGTGAATTGGAGCTATAATGTGATACTTTAGCCTCTAGGTCTGTGTGTCTAAAGTAGTTTGCCCCAATTCTGCTTAGGAATCTCTATTCCATTTAATGTCATTAAACAGGAGTCTCCAAAATGATTCTCAATTTCTATTGAATGAATTTATCCTAAGTCAGCAAGTAAAGATATGAATTAAGATTTGTTGTCTAGATTGTTCAATGTAATATTATTTATTATAATGTAAAACTAGTAGAAATAACTAAATATCTAGTCATAGATTATAATAAATAGTAATACTGTGAACATTATACTGCCATTAAATTTATATTTTAAAATAATTTTAATGTCATGGTAAAATGCTCATAGTATATTCAACAAAAACAGAATATAAAATAAATATAGATGTGATTCAGTTAAAATCTAAATATATAAAAATATGTACACTGAAAAATAAGAGATAAAGAAAATACACGGAAGGGTGGAATTAGAGGAGATTATCCCATAATGTATAATTGTTATCTTTAGAATAAGAGAAAAGTAGAAAAGACATCAGACTGTCTCTGATTTATTAATTAGTACCTGGTGAGATATAGTTCTATTTCTATATTCTCTTCCTTCAATCACATTTGAGTATTTTGGAGAATAAAAACCCTGTGTACTAATACTTTTGTGTATCATCTTTATAGTGCAGGTTTCTTGCATATGGAGGCAGTCAGCCAGGGAATCCGAGGAGAAGCAGCTAATATTCCCATATCAGTGATCACTTCTAGGAGAACCCTATGGTGAATCTGTCAGTAAAAGTGTTGGTGGCTTACTGTGTGAAAGTCTACAGCAATAGGGGCGGTGCTCTGCTCTGGTGTAGCTGGTAAAGCTGCCACTTGCAGTGCTGGCATCCCATATGGGCGCCGGTTCGTATCCCGGCTGCTCTGCTTCTGATCCAGCTCTCTATTACGGCCTGGGAAAGCAGTAGAACATGGCCCAAGTCCTTGGGCCCCTGCACCCACATGGGAAACTCCTGGCTTCGGATTGGCGCAGCTCCGGCCATTGCGGCCAACTGGGGAGTGAACCAGCGGATGGAAGACCTCTCTCTCTGCCTCTCCTTCTCTCTCTTTGTAACTCTGACTTTCAAATAAATAAATAAATCTTTAAAAAAAAAAGGTCTACAGCTATGAAGATGCCACAATTCCAGTTGTAGAGAAATAGGAACAAAAAGTTAGGTTCAAGCATGTTTGAGTCTCAGTCCCAACTTCATCATATAATGGCTAGGTGACTTCTCTGAGCCCCAGTCTCAGCAACAGTGATACCACTCTTCACAGTATTCATGAAACATAAAGGAGGCACAGTGCCTTATAAATTATTGGTAATTTCCCTCCTCTTTTTGAAGAATGGTTCATTTTTAAAGGAAAGGACATTGCAAATAAATAAAATTGTCATCAGTTTCCACAATTTATTAAATTTCTTTTTTTTAAAGAACTTAAAATTAAATTTTAAATGTTATCTGTGTGGACAGAAACTGCCCACATCTGGAAAACTGGAGGTTGAATAATTGTTCTTGCTGCTAGCAATTAACATTTTTGTTGTTTGTTTGTTTGTTTTTTGTATTTCCCTAAAAATCTCTTGGCTGTTTCATCAAATTTGATTGGGGTACGATTGCTGACTCCACAGGGGCCTAAGGTTAGATATTAGATAACAAAGCCACACAGAGACCAGGAGAGATGAGTAATGTATTTCAGTTCATTTATTTTCAGAAGCCTTGTGAGGCAGGAGAAAAGAAGGATGGGAAGAACTACTAAAGACAACCAGTTTTAGGGAACAAAAGGATATCATTTTTTGTAATACTGGGAAGTGAGATTACTTTTGATAAAGTATTTTTCTTATAATTGGAGTAACTGTGGGGCCAGTGTTGTGGTACAACAAGTTAAGTTGCTGCCTGCGATACCAGCCTCCCATATTGAGCACAGAATCATGGCTGTTCCACTTCTGATCCAGCTCCCTGCTAATGCACCTGGGAAAGCAGCAGAAGATGGCCCAGGTACTAGGGCCCTTACTTCCATATAGGAAGCTGGGATGGAATTCCTGGCTTCTGGCTTTAGCCTAGACCAACCCTGGGTGTTGTGGCCAATTGGGGAGTGAATCGACAGATAGAAATTATCTGTCACCGTTTCTGTCCCTCTTTGTTGGTCACTCTGCCTTTCAAATGAATTGATAAATCTTAGATTTAAAAAAAAAAGGACTGGAGGAGCTGCTGTTTCTTTTGTGTTTCTCTCATAATACAGGGACATTAAAATATAGGCAATAGGATCATATAAAATTTAATTTTCACTCTAGTTCACCCTTAGCTGTGACTAGTCGGTTAAGAAGTGATTCTCAAAACAGTTTTTTCTTTGTCATCTATTTTATATTTTTTCATATTACTAAAAACACTTCTCTAGTGTTTCATTTCATTCTATTAAAATTGGACCTTTACATTGTCCTTTGTGTCATAAATGGGAAAGCAAGTCACTCTTGTGGGATCTTTAAGTATCTCTCTAACACAACTACAGAAGTTAGAAGCATATAAAATGAATGGATTTATTGTATTCACAGGTCCAAGAGAAAAAGGCATGCCACACCGTACAGGGGACCTCTCCAGAGTAAGAACAAGGGAGCAGACTCAACCAAGTGAGTAGGTGACAGAGGGGACCCTGAACAAGTGCCTTTGGGGGGCCTCAATTAGAGCATCTAAGAAAAGGTGTGAGAGGATTTCATTGGTGCATTTGAATGTCACTAGGTCACAGTCAGGGAGGATGAGAAGGAGAACTTGTGCAGGTCCCAGCCTCTTCACACCGATGCACCTGCTTCGCTTGGATGTGGTACTTACAGCCTGTGTGTGGGGATGGTGAGCCATCAGAAAACTATAAAACTTGCAGGTATGTATATGTGTTGAAAAGTTGCATTGTACCCCTTAAAAATACACAAGTATTATGTAATAATCTGAAATTTAAAAAAAATGAAAATAAGATATTTGAGAATAAGAATAAAATTTTGAGAAAAAAATGTGTAATACTCCCTTACTCTACAGGGAAGTGTGAAGGTGATAACAGTAATTAGCTTGGACTATTTATGCATTTAACAAGCCAGTCAGTTCAACCAGGAAAAGAAAGAAAACCACTAATAATGATTGATTAAATTTTAGTGTGAGCATGTCAACACTATTTAATGCTGCCTGTGTGTACCATTCCATCTGCATGATCTTATTCCTGAACCTGCTTTGAGAAATACTGCGTGTGTCAGCATGTCATCTAAGTTCAAGAATCTTTGATCCTTATGCTACAAATTCCTTAGTATGTTACTTTCTTTTCATCATCTCAATGTAGCTCCTCTATATCCTCCATATACCATATCTTCATTTGCAGCTGGGAGGAAAGGGAGAGAAGAACAGAAAGAGTGTGCCTATCAGGCTTTGGTGTTTTCATTGAAAATCGTTGTTTTTCTAGCTTTTTTTTTTTTTTTTTTTGGACAGGCAGAGTTAGACAGTGAGAGAAAGAGAGAGACAGAAAGGTCTTCCTTTTCCGTTGGTTCACCCCCTAAGTGGCCGCTATGGCTGGTGTGTTGCGGCTGGTGCGCTGCGCTGATCCAAAGCCAGGAGCCAGGTGCTTCCTCCTGGTCTCCCATGCAGGTGCAGGGCCCAAGCACTTGGGCCATCCTCCACTGCCTTCTCGGGCCACAGCAGAGAGCTGGACTGGAAGAGGAGCAACCGGGACAGAATCCGGTACCCCAACCGGGACTAGAACCCAGTGTGCCGGTGCCACAGGCGGAGGATTAGCCTAGTAAGCCGTGGCGCCAGCCTGTTTTTCTAGCTTTTACACATGGTAGAATGCATCTTGCATCTCACCGGCCAGATTTATGTTACTTGTTCCTTCCTAACTGTAAAGATCCTCATGAAATGTTTTTCCTTTGAAAATGTCTCCTTTTTTTTTTTTTTTTTTTTTTTTTTTTTTTTTTTAGTCAGACTCATTTTAGCCCCTGAAGACATCCCTGTGATGCTCTGTTTTCCTGTTCAATCTGAGCTGGGTACATTCTGTGCTTGATACAGAAACCCAGGACACTTCTGGCTCCAAATCCTAGGAATTTTCTTCTTTGCTCCATGTAAGATCCTGTTTCTTGGATGCTTGATTCTTAGTCTACTCGCTTGCCTGGTTGTAAACATCCTTCTAGCTTTTTGAAAGATCTTGCATACGGTTAGATGAAATGTGTTCTATATAGTGTTACACTTGAATAGTAGCTTGGCTGAATAGAATTTTAGATTGATAGTAATTTTTCTTTGGCTTTTAAAGGTAGTGCTTTCCAATGATGTGGTTGAGAAATTTAGTGTTATTCTTAATCTAGAACTTGTGTATGTATTCTACTTTTCTCTCTGATGATTTTCAGTCTGCTCTCTGTTCTAAATCTAGTTTGATTGTGTGTGTGTGTGTGTGTGTGTCTTTTTCGTTTGGGGCACCTGAAGGCCTTTTTAAATTGAAGATGTTTACTTTGCAAGTAATTCTAAGCAAGTTCTCATATTATTTCTTTACTCATCATTTTTTTTTATTCTCCCCATTTTATATATTCTCTTTTTCTGGAACACCTAATAATTCAATATTGTGATTCTTGGATTACTCCTTTTATTCTCTTATTTTTATTTTTTATCATTAACAATCTCTTTTACTTTTTAGGCTACTTTTTTTTAAAAACATTTATTTATTTATTTGAAAGGCACAGTTACAGAGAGGCAGAAACAGAGAGAGGGAGAGAGAGAGAGAGAGAGAGAGGGGTCTTCCATCTCCTGGTTCACTCCCCAGATGGCTGCAATGGCAGGAGCTGAGCTGATCTGAAGCCAGAAGCCAGAAGCTTCTTCCAGGTCTCCCACGTGGGTTCAGGGGCCTAAGGACTTGGGCCATCTGCATTGCTTTCCTAGGCCATAGCAGAGAGCTAGATCAGAAGTGGAGCAGCCGGATTCGAACCAGCTCCCACATGGGATACCAGTACTATAGGTGGTGGCTTTACCCTCTACGCCACAGAATGATCCCAATAGGCTAGTTTCTTGTTATTAGTGTTGTGTAATATTTATCATTCTGCCATTTTACTGTTAACTCATGTCTTTCTAGTTATTGGACATCTATTATATATGTAGTGGGATCTTGCTTTTATTGAGTGTGACAATCATTGCCTTTTAATGGTTTAGTCCATTTATATTTAATATAATTATTGATATGGTTTGGATTAAGTCTTACTATTTCTCTACTGTTTGTCCTATGCATTCTTTGTCTTTTTTTTGCTTCCTTTCTTAACATCTACTAAATTTATTGAGTTTTTATATTCAGTAGTATCTATTGCCTTAGTTGTATTTTTTGTTTGTTTGTTGTTCTACCTTGAATTCATGTTGAATGCTTTCATATAAGAATCTAACAGCAAAATATTTCATTTATCCCTTTTTGTTCTTTGTGCTTCTTCTTTCAACACTTTAATTCTATATTTGTTATAAACCTCATAATAAATTATTATTATATTTACTTCAATATATTGTCTGTTAAGAATTAAGAAAAAAGTATTTTTTTAAATATTTAGCCAGATATTTGCTATTTGTGACACTATTTATCTTTCACACAAGTTTGAATGTCAGTTTTGCGTCATTTTTCTTGAGCCTAAAGAACTTATTGTTACGTTTTATATAGTAAAAGTTTGCTGACATCAAATTCTTTTGGTTATTTTTCTTTGAAAAATACATTAATTTTGCCTTAATTTTTAAAGGATATTTCACCTTGATATAAATTTCTAATCTCATGGGTTATATTCACACCTAGTACTTTAGAAACGTTATTTGTATCCTGTCTTGCATGTTCTGAGAAATTCAGCAGTCATTCTTTTTCTAATTTAATAAATGTAAATTTACAAAGTGCAACTTTTGTATTATTGTGGCTCCCCGCCCCCAACCTCCCTCCCTCCCGCGGCCCTCCCCTCTCCCACTCCCTCTCCCATCCCAGCCTTCATCAAGTTTCATTTTCAATTATCTTTATATACAGAAGATCAACTTAAGTCTATACTAAGTAAAGATTTCAACAGGCTGCCCTCACACAATCGCACAAGGTATAGGGTATTGTTCGACTAGTAGTGTTATCTTTAACTCTCATAGTAAAACACATTAAGGACAGAGATCCTACGTGGGGAGCATGTGCCCAGTGACTCCCGTTGTTGATTTAACAATTGACAATCTTATTCATGACGTCAGCAATCACCCGAGGCTCTTGCCATGAGCTATCTAGGCTATGGAAGCCCCTTGAGTTCACCAACTCTGAACTTGTTTAGTCAAGGCCATATCACAGTGGTGGTTCCTTCCTCCCTTCAGAGAAAGGTGCCTCCCTCCTTGATGGCCCGCTCCTCCTGCTGGGGTCTTGTTCACCAAGATCTTTCATTTAGGTTGTTTTTTGCCACCGTGTCTTGGCTTTCCATGCCTCAGCAGTCATTCTTATCATTGTTCCCTGTTATATGATACATCTTTTCTTCTTGCTTGAGTGCTTTCAAGATTTCCATTGATTCTAGCATCTTTATTATGACAGCCTAGGTAAGGTTTTATTGTGTTTATCCTGCTGAGGTTAGTTGAGGCTCTTGGGTCTTTAAGTTGATGTTTTTGATCAAACTTGAATACTTTTTAGGAAATATATTTTTCTTTCATTCTTCATTCTGGGCCTCCAATTATACATATGTTAGGTCACTTACTGTTCTTTCTGCTGTTGTTATACATTTTAGTTCTATGTATTATAAACCTCACAAAGTTTTCCTTCTTGTGCTGCAGTTTAGAGAGTTCCTATTGATTTATTTTAAAATTTATTGATTTTTTTTCCTTTGGCAATGGTCAAATTACCGATAAGCTTAGTCAATACATTTTACATTTTATATATTTTAGTTTTAGACTTCTTTTTAAAGATTTATTTATTTATTTGAAAGGCAGAGTTACAGAGAGGCAGAGGGAGAGAAAGGGAATTTTTCATCTGCTGGTTCACTCCCCAAATGGCTGCAATAATGGCTGGAGTTGGGCCAGTCTGAAGCCAGGAACGAGGAGCTTCTTCTGTGTCTTCCAAGGGGGTGCAGGGGCCCAAGGATTTGGGCCATCTTCCACTGCTTTCCCAGGCCATAGCAGAAAGCTGGAATAGAAGTGGAGCAGTCAGGACTCAAACTGGTGCCCATGTGGGATGCTGGTGCTGGAGGTCGCAGCTTTACACACTAAGCCACAGCACCGGCCCCTAGTTCTAGACTTTTTACCTAATTCTTTAAAACCGTTTCCATTTATTTGGTGAAATTTCTCATCTGGTTACTGGTTTTATATATTTTCCTTTATATCATTCAATATATTTATTATAGCTATTTTACACTCTTTGCTAATCCAACAAATGTGCCATATCTGGATTTTCTTATTGAATGTTATTTCTTCCAATTATACTACATATTTTCTAGTCTTGTCATATATGAATAAGTTATTTTACTATAAGCTGGAAATTGTAGATAATACATTGAATTCTGTTGTGTTCTTTTAAGACTGCTAACTTTTACTTTAGCATATATTTAACTAGTGATTTAGTTTAATCCTGTTCAAGCTTAATTTGACTGTGTATGTTTACAATAATTTCTAATCAAATCTATATGACAAAAAAGCTACTATTCTTTCTTGATGTCCTCTTATTCATAATCTCAGATTGTCCCAGAAATTCTATTTGGATTTCTGAACCATGATTGCCCCAATTGACTCACTCCCCTAGGAGAATTCAAAAAGACTTTTTCAGATCGTATGTCCCAAGTTTTGTTTAGAAAAACAATGTCAAAGATAAGACGTTCTGGAAATCTGAACTTTTCCGGGAATGGTCTAATATTCCATTCTGCATTTCTTCAGTAATCA